AACACCTTAGGTAAGGACTCATTCATTTCAAGCCAAAGTAACATATCCCAGAGAAAATGTTTCTGATTCATTGATTCCCTTTCCTCTCCCAGGTCTGCACTGCTTTATTAAGCATTCAGAAGAATACTTAAGTTTCGCCTAAACTACGCAGGTACAATTCATTGTCTTCCTGTAATCAAAATGCCAACATATGGCAAGGAATTTGATAATTTTACTGGTCATTAATAGTATTTCAAATTTATCTTGTATATAAATCAGAGAATTATATGCTACATCACAGATTCTGCACCTGTATCATGTTTCAGCTACATAAAAATGCATGTGTGAAAAAGGTGAATTTTTAAGGGTACAAACAGATGTTTGAAATGTTGCATACAAATCTCAGTCAATTAATGCAAATATAAAGCTAGATTTCATTTTCTCAAATTTTGAATTATAGGAGAAAAGCAAATATGTCTTCCACTTTCCAAATATTGTGACCTTCACCTCTGAAAGATGACCTTCAAACAAGGGATGAAAGGTCAAGTACAGCAGGCATGACATGTATTAACAAACAGATATACAGACACACTGGTGGATGGATAGACAGATTGAATAACAGATAGACAGACAGGCAAACTTGGTTAAATCATTCTCTCTTTCACCTACCATGGGGAGACATAATGACAAATGAAACAAAATAAAATTTATAACTCATTTCGAGAATATCATCATACATGTACCAATATTTTAATATCACACCTACGTAAAATAAATATGGTAATTTCTCTTAGCTTATCATGGCAGCAAATTGCAGTAAAACTCAAACACTTTATGACAGTGATTAAAAATTTGAAATTTTAACAGTCTGAAGTAAGTAACATTCTCTGTTTCTTGATACTGACAGATTGAAAAGATATACATGTACTCCAACAATGTAAACACAGTCACTGCCAATTTAATCCTGGCCCTTGTGGATATTTCAAAGGGACATTTGTTTATAAACATAAAATACTATATAAGAAACAAAGAAACAGGAAACAGTAATAAAAAAATAATGACATCACACAACATGTGGTGGGGTGTGATCTTTTGGTGCAGATATATACGAGAAAATGGACTTCTGTCATATCTTTTTTATTTGTCGTAATATGTTGTTCAAATGAAATAGGGAATAATTCAAAATTTGTATTAAAAGCATCTCTACCATCTAGGTTTAAAAAATGCCAGGTAAAACGGGGGTATAAAAAGGAAAGAATGCATGGATGACTCCATCCTCCGCATTTTACACCAAGCCAATATTTCTCACATCAGCCATTATCAGATAATAAATACGCACTTATTGCAAAAGCATTCAGGAGAGAAACTCTTGAAGGAAAAAAAAAGATTTATGGGACTTTCAAGGTTTGAGTTGTCGTTTTATTATGTAGCATCAATAAATATTGATTGAGCTAAGATTACATAATGATCAAAGGATCATGGGTATTTCGAGGCGCAGTTAAACACAGCCAAAAATAAAATCCCTCGCATCAACAAATATGGGACCAAATTCTGCCTCATGACTTCGGGTTTCACCTTTTTATTACCTCGCAAGATTCTTCCCTTCGTTCTTGTAATCTTTTTGTCAATTTTTTCAAATCAACACGTTTCCTCTCAAATTCGGCAAAGCAGTCTACAAATATTTACTGAACAAATTCATGAAAAGCCAAATTCGCAGTAAATCTATCAGACTTTGGCCAGACAAATACCTATGAAATATATACGAGTGAATAAATTTCCTCTCCAAATTCATCAGCTGTTACACCTAACAGGTAATTGGTGTTTAATATTTTACCTCGTCAAACAGTTTAATCTGAAACAATAAATTACCCCCATACACATTGATACATTAGTCAATTCTTTAAAACCTCTGGTGTAATCATCTCATTCATCATGAGTTTTCAGAAATAAGTACCACTACACCGATATCAAAAGTGTGTTTATATACCCAGTCAATTTTTTTTCTTTAAAACTTAGCTTTGAACTGATCCAGCTAAATGCATAGCACGATGGAAGGGCAGAGGGAATGGACACAACAAGAGGCCCATGGGCCACATTGCTCACCTAAGCACTGTGGCTTGGAAAGGTAGAAAATTGGTTTATTATTGAAAAGTTTTAATCCAAAAGAAGTCCCATGACCAATCATGGCTTTACTATTCTTGAAAAGATGATTTTTAAAGAATTTTTCTTTATATTTCTATGTACACACTTTTCGGCCATTGTGGCCCCGATATATACCCCTGGGGGTCATGATTTGAACAAACTTGAATCTATATATATATGCTTCCATATAAATATGACCAATCATGACTTTGTATTACTTGAGAAGAAGATTTTTCAAGAATTTTCCTATATATTTCTATGTAAAACTTTGGTCGGCCATTGTGGCCCCGCCCTACTCTCGGGGGTCATGATTTGAACAAACTTGAATTTACACTACCTGGGGATGCTTCCATATAAATATGATGAATTATGGCTTTGCTATTCTTGAGAAGAAGATTTTTAAAGAATTTTCCTATATATTTCTATGTAAAACTTTGGTTGGCCATTGTGGCCCCGCCCTACCCCTGAGGGTCATGATTTGAACAAACTTGAATCTACACTATCTGAGGATGCTTCCATATAAATATGACCAATCATGGCTTTGTTATTCTTGAGAAGAAGATTTTTCAAGAATTTTCCTATATATTTCTATGTAAAACTTTGGTCGGCCATTGTGGCCCCGCCCTACCCCCGGGGGTCATGATTTGAACAAACTTGAATCTACACTACCTGAGGATAATTCCACATGAGTTTCATCTTTCCTAGCCCAGTGGTTCTTTAGAAGAAGATTTTTAAAAATGCCAATAATTTTTCACTAATTCATAATTATCTCCCCTTGGAAAAGGGCATGGCCCTTCATTTGAACAAACTTGAATCCCCTTCACCCAAGGATGCTTTGTGCCACGGTTGGTTGAAATTGGCCCACTGGTTCTTGAGAAGAAGGCAAAAAAATGTGAAAAGTTTACGGAAACAGAAAACAGACGGACAGACATGACAGACAGCTACACATTGTGACGGACCGGACAAAATGTGATCAGAAAAGCTCACTTGAGCCTTCGGCTCAGGTGAGCTAAAAAACTATATATGCTTTGGCCATAGTAATGGCGACAGTGGCATAAAAATTGTATTGGTTGATTAGTATTTTCATGTAATTAAACGAGCGTTTCAGTTTTCTTCGAAAGAAGTTAGGTGCAGTCATGCAGGCATATGCAAGTCTAAGAAGGAAAATGAGAATTCCATGTGTTGCAACACTCCCAAAATGTCTTTTTGCATACTAATGTATAGCTACACCCATTTCATATTATTGCAAATATACATTTTGTATGGTACATACAGAAAAACAAGATTTTTAAATATATATAATATATACCCAACTTCAAGGGTAGCCAAATTAGATTTTTCAAATTCTTATCAATACTTGATAAAATATTAATCCACATATACTTTGTTATTATAGATTTTTCACTATAATTAAATTTTTTTTCTTCTCTCTCTCTTAAACATTTCCATCCAAAAACAAACAGCTCTCTCTCATACTTTGTGTCTGATATTCTAAACATTACAATGTTTTCAATTTAAGAGAAGGCAATAAAACTCATTCGAAAAAATATGTTTTGTCGAAGGATTAGCACATTTTCTACTTCACTGGTTATTCAAAGCTATAGAGGTACGATAGCATCTCTATTTTTAATAAGGTAATAATAAATGTGTTTAAATCACTTATACATTTGCCAGTTCAGAAAAGACAGATTTATCTATTTGATTTAACTTACAATTTCATGTTTTGTATAATCTTGATCTAGGTTAAAGGTGATTGATTACTGATGATAAACCATTAGAAAATCAATTAAATCAACAAATTAGTTCTGCACATAACAATTAACATAATATATGTGTAGTATAGGCACACTCAACCAGCATCTGGATAAACAAATTATAAATTAGACAAAACTGAATTAAGTAATGACAAAATTCAGATAAACTTGGTATTGTGATCAGAACATCTAAAATTGAAACACAGAAAACCATTGGACCACCAAAAACTTCCAAATACAACTGCACCCTTCCTTTCAGTAGCATATATTTAGTTTAAAAAGTCGATGAGAGCTTTTAAAAGAAAATTGCATGTAATAAATTTATCCCTTATTAATTTTTCAACATAAGCTAGGTGGCAATCCCAACAGTTCAAAAAACACCGAATCTTGGCCTGAACAGGTAAATAAAATTCTAAATGAAACCTGAAGCTGGCATTTATCACCTCTACTCTCTATTAAATAAAGGAGCTACAATCTATAAACCCTCAGAGTTAGAAATAAATGTACTGGTCATTAATTGTCATATCAGGTTAGTTAGACTGACCGCTAAATGTCCATTACATAGACTGTGCCAATGACCAGACTTACAGACACCATTATTGACAAGTCCCGCGCTGCCATTTATAAATTGTATGTAAACAGTGAGGTAGTACACTTCTAACCTACTGTGTCAAATCCAAACTAATTAATGTTTATATATGTATAAATATATAGAGGGAGTCTCCATGTTACATTTTGGGATTAAGATGCATATTTATACCTGGAAACTGAATCTTTAATAAGGCTCTGTGGACATTTATAATGAAAATGGTGCTTACATTAAAGTGTCGATTAAATCAAATATATTGGAACATGTACATTAGAGTGGTTCTGCACTGATATTTACTCTCAGTAAACAAAACTTCATTAATTGTTCAGGTATACATGTAATTATATATGTGTAATTTTAAATTCAGAACAAATACATGTAGGTTAAACAAAAGAGATTTGAAATATCTGTGCAGGATCAATTTTTGCTCTTCTTGAAAGAATCAAATATTAATCTGCTAAGACTTTAATTCCACAAAAAGATGTCATCATGCGCCATCTGAAAAAAGGAAAGAATCACCCTCTATAAGTACTCACAATACAGCGTCCTTGTATGCAGACTCTGTCTGTGGACTTATCATCACACGGTACTCCGTCCCTGACTTGTCCACTAAACATAGCATAAAACCCATAGTACACAGCTCTACACATCAAGGAGCACCGACGAGAGGCTGAAAAATTCAAAAACATATTAAATTAATTCTTAAAAAACAATTGTTCATGCTCTGCTTTACTCTTGGGGTGGTGTTGGCACCTCGATCCCTACTGTACAGGAGAAAATTTTGTCAAAAGGTCACTGCTCCAAGGTGCTCATTTTTGAAAGATTTTAAATAATTACCTGCATTGTGGCTTTTATAATTATAGGTTTTGAAATTTTTGAGAATTGTTAAATTAAAATTTACTTGAAAAATATCATGAATTTATTGGTCAACATTTCCATACATAAAGGTGACATCTACATCGATTCATGCATATAAATCATCAGATATCATTTGTTCATTCAGTTATGTATCTAAATAATTCAACATGATCAAGGTAAATGATAGAATTATGCAATAGGCTGTTGAAGATTAGAACAGTTATCCTTCCTTATGACTGCACCATCGAGTGCCATAAGTGGTTATGTTTGAATCAACTAACACTGATGATCATGGTATATGAAATTATTAGCATGCAATAAAACTGTAAGGTCACTGCCACTGTGTCAATGCAAAACATTTAATTCCATTGTTTGGTTATCATGCGGTGAGGCATGAAAACTTCACATTGTGCCAATATCAATTTTGTGTTAAAGTTTTTTTTGTAACTGCTCTAACTGTCACACATAGCCCCAAAACTTTCAAAACTTTGATTGCAATTGCGCAGAAAAAACAGAATTTTACATTGTGTTGTTCTCTGTTAATGAAGTATATAGTAACATGGCCATCAACTGTAAATTCATGCGTTCTCACTCAGTCACTGAACATTGTGATGTGGACCTAGCTCAGTAGCTGTTTTCCCATTTTCCCGCGAAATGATTTCCAATATTTTGAACTTCATGCCCGATGCAAAATCAAGCGATATTACACATTTGATAACGTGAAATATTTGTTGTAAGTCATTCATGAACAAAATGAACTAAAATTATTTAAAACCCATACATAAATGTTTTATTTCTGAAATACCCTCACCAAAATCGTAGGTTTATAAGCTGGTAAGATTTTTAAAGCAATTTATTTTTCAGTTTGGTAGATTATTATACTCGTAAATGTGTAAAAAAAATTGACGAAAGCGCACAATTATATTACAATATTTGAAAAATGTTTAATTTCTAAACTTCTAAAAATTTAATATATTAAAAAATTAAATCCAGTGAATAACTTTAAATGCAAAGGATATTTGACATAAAATAATTTTTATACTTACGATCTATATGTTTTTCCCATTGGAAGAATCTGCCCCTGTATTTTCGGGAGTTTTGCTTTCTACATTCACTTTGTCGGTAATCGTGTCCCTTTCCCTCGCACGCCTATGATAAAACTTTTATGGTTATGCAGAACAGACTTCAACAGTATTCTAATGCTAAATTAGTATTTCAGTGGTCTAAGCCTATTTTGTAAAAGCATGGACTACGTGTAATTGGGAACATCTTCCCCTTTTTCATGATTTTCATGATAGTAAAAATACTATGCACATGCAGCAATAATATATAAAATTTGATTTTATCAGATTATTACATGTAGAGCATTTTCTTGACTTATTATAACAGGTCCTGTTATAAGATGAACTTACTTTGACATTACAAGCTTTATACTGCTTTTGATTTCCATAACAATTAAAGGCGCTGAAATTAAAAATAAAAAAAAACAGTTTATCAACCTTTTAACATAATCTTTAGTGAATAATCAAAAGGCTAGATTTTTTATTTTTAATTTATACAAAAGAACCCTCTCCTCATGTTGCATGTACATGTATGTTATATATGTAAAAAAAAAAAGTTAACTTTCGCTGTATACATTCAATATATGTACCAGTATATTGTAGGCACGTAGCAACAGGGGGGGGGGGGGGCGAAAGGTCCCCAACATTACCTTTACTATTGAAAGGTTGGCTGCCTAACTTGTTAACATGTAATATCAAGGAAAGGTACTGTCTTTGTGAAATAATTGGAAGGGAAAGAAAGTGGGCGGAGCCCCCCCCCCCAATTTGTTTTTTGAATTTGGGGAATTTCTTTTTTTTTTTTTTTGCTTGTTAAGTTTTACAGGTAAATAAAAAAAAAATTCTGGCTGCCCCCTTTCAAAAAAAACGTGCCTGTATCGCCATAAACTTATAATTTTATTTCATGACGAAATGTCAAAAACATATACAGCAACTGTTCCTTCGCCATGCCTAGCACTTTTGTTGCGGGTCCTTCGTATGGCATCAACGATCATGGCAGGCAATGGCAGGATAAAAACCCTCACTGCTCAATGGCGTAAGTGCCGAGTAAAAGTCAAAATTTGAAGCCCTTCACCGGTACAATGTATATGGTGACGTCTCTATATGAGTGAAAAAATCTCGAATGGGACAAAAACAACATACAATGGATTCATATGATTTAATAAAATTTCAGCAATTCAGAATTTAACAAATGAATTTCAAAATTAACAAAAGAAATTACAATCTTTCTATTTTTTACCCGTAAAATCACTGAAAATGGAAAAAAAAATGTGGATGCAGAATAGAGAGCAAGACATCCCACAGAAGGCTACCTGCTTTGTGCTTCACAAAACCTATAGTTCTTCTGACCCTTGGTCCAACAAGGTGAAATTAAAAACAAAAATCAATATCTTTTTGTTTCGTGTTGGCTAATTCAATTTTACCAGAGGTCCTGAACTTTGTTGACAATATATTGGAATTTTTATGAATGGAAAATAATTCTGTTTCCCACTATAAGATCGATAAATGCTCAATTGATATTTTCTAAAGAATGAGACTTGGTGCGGCATTTAATTAATCTCGTTTTTATCAAATAACAAATGATAAAACGCCCAATTTTCGTTTGATTAGTATTTTTGGCCTTTCTTTGCTTGACCTTACTCGGGACGCGATATCCATACGCTATATATAAATGGAATGCTACATTCATTTAAAATAGGTTAACCAAGATAAACACAAAAACACGGATATTTGCACAAATTAAAACCCATGCATACATGTAATTGTACGATAAGGAATCCTGATTTCTTCATATAACAAGAAAAATCGAAAATTTGTCATTGAGAGAATTATCATGATAGAGAGATAGTTTTCTTTTTCGTCCACCAAACTATAAAAATGCCTTTTAAGCATTTCTAACAATTGTTTTTCAGACGTATTTCTTAAAAAAGATTTCAAACACAGGTTCGTATAAAGTCCTACTTCCGGGTAAACTGCACTGACCCACAAAGCGTGTGGACCCTACCCCGACCCCAAATTTAAACTGGCCCCCTTCAAGTTCCCTGGATCCGCCGCTTATACGTGTATGTATGCTGGAACCCTACTTACTTTGGTAAGCACTGTAGATATCTATGTTGAACCCCAGGTCCACAAGAGACTGTGCAAGGTGACCAGTCAGTCCAAGAACGCTGAAAAATGTACACCAGTAAGTATGTATTTCCATGTGAAAAATATCTAAATGAGTAAAATATTGTATATTACAAAAATTTATTGAATCCCGATAATGCCATGCAGTTCGCTATGTATTGCATCATCGAGCATCTTTTAAAAGCTTTAAAAGGTGGATGGCGCAAAAATATAATGGTGCAGTGACGATGAAACAATAAGGCGATGTCAATGAAGCGATGGTGCAATTGCACGATGGCGATGATGCGATGGCGCGACAATGTGATGACAATGGTCCAATAGCACAATAAAGTGATAATGAACATCGCTTCATCGTCATCGGACTATTATTGCGCCTTCGACATCGCATCATGTTATTATCACCATCAAATCATCGCGCTATCGCTTCATCGTGTCGTCGTATCATCGACATAGCGATATTGCACTTGATCATCGATTCATCGTCATCTCACAATCAATTCATCGTTATCGCGTCATCGAACTATCGACCAAATGATAAATACTCTCGAATTTTCTTTTATTTCAAATCCGACCATTGTGTGAATTGAATTTTTTATATAATTTTTCTGACAATGAATCATTAATCTACATTGTATATATTAGTATATTAATTTAATCAAACTCACATATCAAAAGTCAAAACAGATGTCACTGACAAAAGATTTACGACACATTACTGAATACATTCAAATTGACATTTTTGTCATAAGGTTACTATACTGTTTGTAATATGTCGGTAACTAGGGGGGGGGGGGGGTTGGGGTTGCTTTAATTTTAGTTCGAAAGGCAGTGCTAAGTATCAATGTATATTTTTACATATATACTCTTAAAACCCTTCATTTCCTTTAGAGTCTGATCAATTTTGAATAACAGTAAAAATCGGTTTAAACGAAGTCACTGGGACCTTTGAAATTACTTCGCTATATCCGTAATTCGTTATATCCGTATAAGGAATTCGTTAAATTTATATAGTTGGGGACCGAAAATAACTTAGCTATATCCGTGAATTTGCAATATCTGTGTTCGTACTACACGAGATATAGCAGCTTACTTACCTGTGGACCACTTCAAATCAATCAGCTTCCAATAAAAAAATAAATCAATCAATAAAAAAAAACCAATCAACAATAAATCTATAAATCAAAAACATATCAATCAATCAATTTTTAATAACTACTTACAAAAACAATCAAATTCGACGACGAGAAATCAATGACGAGAAATCAATAGGAAGTTTTGGGAGATATAATTTTACAGTATACATGTAGTTGAAGTCATTAATATGGTGCTGAATTGACAAGGTAACTAATTGATAATTCTGAAGAGGGTGAACATGTGCTTCCTTGATCAAATATATGTTGATACTGGGAATCAACTTATTAATCCGCCGCATAGAACTAAAAAATCATCTGAAAACAGGATTTTATTTTGTCTTACACATATATTTTTACTGCAAAAAGGAACACCCCTGTTCTTGTGAGTCAGTCGTACATGTAAGTTTAGCATACCTTACATATTCTAAATATCAACAATTTGGGTGATTTAATGCGGCCTATATGTATAAAATACCAGGTAGGCCATATACCTTATATACATGTAGGTGTCAAATTGCTATCGCACTGAGAGGCCAGCTGATTTGGTAGGACTACCCTTAATAAACAGTAGCTGTATACCTTGCCTCTTGTTTTGCATAAAAAAAGAGATAAGCACACCGCCCACCCCCCCCCCCCCCCTAATGCGACCTTTTTTTAAGATTTATTTATATATGATGTATACATATGAAGTATTATATCTCTAATATGTTGAACTTATATAATTTTTAAATGTGTATAATTTAAACATATTTGACCATGAGCAAAGTTTCAAAAACTAAAACTCGCGAAGGTATATGTATTCCAGTCTTCTTAAAAAAAAAGGGGGGGGGGGTCGAACACACTCCCTTCCTTGAAAAAAAAAGTTTAAAAAATGATTTAATGAGCTTGAGGAAACTTGTTAGATTTGTAATTTTGCATTTTGGAAATATCAGAGCTTCCGAATTACCGATGGGAGAGGGGCATTACTTCCAAATACTCCAAGATTGTCAGTTATTTATCCAACATCCAAGTTTTGCATCCCATCCAACCTTGTAGAAAGGGGGCAACTTAAACTTATTTTCACACAAAAACCCCATCTATAAATCTAAAACTTCGGGAGAGGGATAACACTGACGGATCTTTTTAATTTGGCATTTTTAATGCACATTGTGATTGGAAGATGTTAAGACAATTGGTGAAGTTCATACAGGGATAGATTGGACATTAAATTTCAAAAGAAAGAAAATTAAAAATGCATTAAAATTATGTGACTGTGAATATTGTAACATGTAATTTGAAAACGGTAATAACTCAGACATTTGCTGTTTAAGGAATGATTTTGACTCTTTTCCCAATTGTCAATAAAGAGGGCCAAAAACGGTCTTTAATCTATCTAGTTCTTTTTTAAAGATTTGAATTGTACATAAAGTTTTATAACTTCACAATTTTCAACCTCCACGTATCATATGACACTTCATCTTCATACATGTATGTATAGAGGAAAAAAACTTGTTTTCTTTAAAATGTTGATTTAACCCGTGGGTATAATTTTAAGTGTTCATTCTTTCGCATTTCACATGACATACATGTACATAACACTTACATTGTTTTCTTTGTGAACTTTATTTGACACGATGTGCGACGTATTTTTATATTTTCAAAGGATAAACAAAGTTTTTTTGCAATAACTGTGGGTTTGCCTTTTACATCTTCATTTCAATTAATAACTTTTCATATACTTGTATATACATGCATAAGAATGCACTTCAGTTATATAGTACTACCTTAACATATATAGAATTCTTTTTGCAAGTGTGTCTCAAAGAATTGATATCCTACCGGTATTTTAATCTCAAGTACTTTGTAGGGTTCAGCTAAAATTGTTAAGAATTATATGTGCCTTTATATTTGACTCCTCTGGACTAGGGCATGTACACATGTAGATAGGTCCCATGCTATAATTTGCATGATACAAGTACTGGAATCGATTTATTTTTAAAAATGAATTTTAATTTAATTTTTAAAAAAAGTCGTGTTACATGTATCAATATTGATTGTTTAAAATCATATTAAAAGATTTGAAATATACTGAATTCCTATTTTCAAAATCTTTGAAATTTGGGATAAAAAGATTTTGAACAAACGAGAATTCAAAAAAAAAAATTCGCGTAAGAGAGACAGTCATTGAGCTCATTCCAAAAGGCGAATGGTCTTCACCCATTCGTTCAAGGGTCAGTTTGACATATGATGCTATTTCATTACTTTGTGCTATGATCTGTAAGTGATAATAAAATTATTTCTGTTCTGTACCACTTTATCCTCGACCCTCAGGGATCATAATGTAATCTACACTTAAATGCATTTATTGATTTTTACTTTCATCCTCTCGAACGACACTTAAAATTGGCAAAACTCGGCATATTTAAGATGTATACATATAGTGGTAATTTTTGTGAACATTTTGTTTTTGGTGATTTATTAAAACTTGTGAAAATACTTTATTTGATAATTTGGATATAGCCCCCCCCCCTTCTCTCTCTCAATTTTGAAGGGGAAGTGTTATAAAATATAATTTAAACATATGAGAGCATCAATAACATTCTCAGTTCATTAACAAATGAAAATATTTCCAATTCTAAAACTAGACCTAATATAATTATAATACAATTATCTACCCCATAAAGAAACTACATGTATATATTTGTCCCTTGATGGAATTACAAACCCAACCAAAAATGGTTCGGAACGACGATGACCACGAACGTGGGCAGTTGGCGAAGCTCGTAATAGAACTAATTAGACTTAATTAGTAGAAACAACAGACCTAAGTGACATGACATTTTCACTTATGTAGGTATGAAGGCGACACATTAAGATAATATATTTCACACTTTTGACACAGTTATGCGAAAATAATTATTTCAATTCGAAAGAGCGAAAAAGTTCAACGGTTTTCAAATCTCAATGATGGGAAAAAAATTCTGAATAACCTTCAGATTTAACTTCTTATGGTTTATGTATAAATTAATTATCATTCTGATGTTGAATTTAATTACATATCAGACTGTCATGTGACTATTTTCAACTTGACTTCAGATTTACTGAAATGATAATTTGATTAGAATACCCGAGAATGAGCATGTGAAAAAATGAAATGCAAAGTTCTATATAATGTACATGTAAATTAATTTCCTTATATTAATGTAAACTTTGAAAACATTTTAAAATACATTCAATACAAATATGATTTAAAAATTTTTCTTGAAAAGAAATTCAAGGAAAATTATAAAATTGAACGGAAAATTTCCATAAATCAATGTTTGCGCTTCTTTTTACAAATACTTGATAAAAATTTGCATGCAGACTTGTTTACTAAAAAATACCATGCCTAATATTTGACTCATATTAAATAAAATGCAAACTAAACTCTAATGCAAAGGCCTTTACGGTATATCTCCTTATTCATATTTTTAATTTTTTTCCCCTGTAACACCTTAATCTACCTTTGACATATCCCTGACCACATAAATAGTCTTAAAGATTAACGTTTAAACCTAATACTAAGCCATGAAAATTCAAAAGCCCTACCTGGGAATGCTGGCTGACCCAGACATTATGTTATCCCTTGCATATCTGGACATGGTTTTACATCCCAGTACACATCATCAAATCAGCTACCTGCTATTTACCTGAATTCTGGTGACTATTAACAGTCGGTCAGTGTCGAGATGACCTGTGATCTCAACTATACTCTTTAAGACTACAATTACTACCTTGCCGGCTTTTAAACATCTGTACGACGCGGGTTCATCTTTTTAGTAATTTCTATAAGCAGTCGGGGCCAGAAATTAGTGTATTCCCTTTAAGTAAATTTGACAAAAAATGTTTATGGTGGACAAGAATGAAGAGAATGTCCCGTGATATTA